GATTAATAAACCAATATATTCGCACACACGCAACAGAAATTAGGTCTCAAGATGATGTCATCCGTGTAATGACTTTTCTACGCCTGAAGACCGCGCCAAGGACATGTTGTGCCTGGGAACATTTCCCGTAATTTTCTCCGCGATCCCAGAGGGTTTATACGCCTAATTAAACCCATCATTTCATGAGGGTAGTCACGTAACTACGATCGTATCGACCCCGACAGGGCAATTCTACGTACAGACGTGAAAGTGAAGCGTCCCTAAACCTATTGGTCATCCCTAGATAGTAGACTTCAAGTTAAAGTGAAGCATGTCTAAACTTATTGGTCATCCCAGGGTTATCCCTAGATAGTGTGCTTGCCGCCTACAAGTTGTGCTGATTACATAACGTTAAAGTGAAGCAATCCATAGTTTCTGAACGTACGTTTGTTGACAGATTGATCGGACATCTTGTTGTTTCTCAAATGGGCATTACCTTCAACTTTTCAAGTCAAAGGTTAACAGGCATTTGTCCTCACTGCCTAGTACAATAACCCAAAACATTTGAGTGGCTCTCATGAGCATTGTTTTGTGGTGGGGTCGTGTGGTGTAGCGGCAGAGTGCGCGACTCGGAACTAAGAGTCCCGGGTTCGAGTCCTGACATGCCACCGATCTTGTGCCCTTGGGAAAGGCACTTTACACGGCTTTCCTCACTTGGGTGTAAATGAGTATTGTCCTGCAATGTATTTGTCCCCTGTGTTGGTGGCGGCATCAATATGAGTTGAAGAAACTTGAGTGTGTCGTCACCAAGTCTGGTGATTACATGTTGGAATAAATAAAAATTGTTTTGTGGTGAACATGAAGTAAATAATAAAAGACAAACATCGTGAAGATTTTTTTCTTGTTTGGTTCTCTCTGTCTTTCTTTCTGTCTTTATTTGATACGTCATTGCCATTCACAACGCGCATTGCCATGTCAGGTTCAAACAGCGAAAGCCCTTGAGCTCTTAAGCGCAGCAGATAAGGGAGCATTATTAGATTTCTTCTTCTTTGATACAAGTTGAAGGCTACGCTAGCACTTGGCTCTGGTTCAATATAAGAAGCTGACGGTGTAAAACGACACAGTATTAGCACGTTGATGAAGGTTAGACATCCAGGTACTATATTCAGGCACTAATATATAAGAAAAATCAAACTCTAGTGCAGAATGAATAACGGGTTATTCATTTATCCGGTAGTAGAGTTTGATGTTTCTTTAGACGCTATTAGCATGTTGATTAGACGATTGTTTGATGTGGATAAAATTTTGTTTCATTCGCTCCGTCCAAGCCCATTTCTGTCCCATGAAAATTTGTAACCAAGTTACCGCTTGAGTTATATAACATGAAGTTCACCTTAACAATGTATTTGTTGTGGTGTTCAGAAAGTGAAGTGAATACGTACTTTAGAAAGATAAAGTTATTAATAAAGATAAAGAAAAACAGTATGTGGTACCCTTGTTTTCAGTATAAAAGTCACAAGCATATCCCTGACATGGTGATTCTTTCCTGTACCTTTGACTTTTCCTCGTCTTTTCATTTAAATGAAAGTCTGCCTCCAAGCTTTTTGTACAATGGAGCATAAGAAAAGCCGATAAGCTGCTTATCTTGCTGTACTATACTAGCGGTAGTGCTTTTCAGAAGAATATGGTGGCCAGTCATGCATTTCGACCTTTACCACTGCTTTTCAGTCAAGTCCTGTAACACGATATTGCTCGGGAAGGGCACCACGTTGATACAGTTCATACCCAGTGAACCGAGGACAGTGTAACATCGCCTGTGTGTATGGTTGAATAGTTGTACCACTGATTTGCTGTCAGTCACGTTCTTATCACATGAAAGGGTTTTCAGAAATATCTGACGTTTTTATATGAAGAAATCGAAGGGTATCTTTTGGTTCACTCGTTGAAGTCGCATGGAATTTGATCACTTGGATAGCTCTGCTATTGAGTGTTCGGCTATTTCAAGGACATCATGGGGACTTGGATCTGAGACATGTATGTAGTACTCTGAACAATTCGGTATTTACTGAATCTGTCATTTATTTTTGCCCAATTTGCTACTTTGAACCAACTTTATAACAATAGGAGTGCCATATAACTTATAACTTATAAAGCAAGTACACCGGACTCAGTACGCCCTGAGCCACGTGCCTCAAATAGTACAGTTCACGGTAGGTAAAGTTTGATGCATTGGGTGTGGTCACTGCGGCAAGAGTTGCGCTAGTTGTAACTACATTTTACATACCACACGGCGGGACCTTTGACCACGGAAGTCCTTTAGGACTAACTTAACCTTAAAATCACCCTTGCCTTGAGAGAACCACGATAATCAAGTTGGCTTACTGAGCGTAAGACGGTCTGGAAGGCAGCGTATTTTTCATTACGATGTTAATAGGGTAGCCCGGCAAGAGGTCACTAAGTTAATGGTGTCACGGGCACAACAGTACATTACACGTGGTACAGGCATTGCTGTAGCCAAGCACCGCATTCCGTTTCCAACGTCATTGTTGCAGGTTTATGGCAGTAGCCACAAAATCCGTTATACTCACATAAAGGCTATGCTAAGTCACTTAATCTTTTCTAAAGGTGCAGCTAGGGGTAAAGGATGTAGTAATATATAATAACGATAGTAAAAGACGCCTTAACGTGACCAGGGACGTACATACAATGTCAGTGGTAGTTGCGGGTAGATCCTTTAATTCTTACCCCGAGAGAAATTCCCTACAACAACAGTGTTGTGTGTGGAAAGTTTATGATCTCTAAGATACTTCAGAAAATGCCAACTTCAGTCACACAGGCTGAAACTGGGACCTTTTTATTTTATCTTCGCTGTTAGTCCATTATTGGCCAAGAGATTTAGAATCTTGCTGATACTTGATAGAGTTAGCCAATGGCGGTGTTTTGATCCCTGATAACAATATTTTTATATAGCAAGATCATGTGGAATTTTACTGATTTGTGATAGTAGTTTTATTATTCTAACGACAAGGTAATATCCTGCCTTACAGTGTGTTCTCATGTTTTCTACATTCCCTCTCATCGAAGAAATCGTTTGAGAATTTTTAAGTTGAAGCTTGCGATGACAAATGTTGACGACAAAACTGGAAATCTTACGCTTCGCTTGCGGCCACATATCTTTGTCATTATCATCTTCGCATTAACGTTGATATTAAACCCCAAGGTAAGGATAACTCCCTATATGCATGTATGCTGTGAGTTTCCTTCATCAGTCACTCCATACGCGAAGTTTAACACAGACAATCTACAGGAAGGTATACCATAAGGTATAAACATATATATTTTCTTTATATCTTCTCATTACAGATTTTATGAAACTGCCTTGTTAAAGGTGTTCATATGGCTTTCGGTAGACCTGGATAATTCTATAGGTATATGTATTAGGTACCCTCATACAGATAGTCTGCTTGAAAGTCTCCATTGTTGTTTTTCATCTTAATCTTAAATGTACATCTAAAACTAATAAAACCATATCGCATTCTTGAGAGAACCCCGATCAATATCAAATGCATATCATGTTTTTGATCTTTAATATTGAGCTTGGAAACGCTTTATAATTGTGTCAATTGAATTGAACAATTCCTAAACATAAAGTTAGATGCTTCTTTGTTCTTGATGGAAGATCGCACGAGGGGAGAAAAATGTATCCGTCCACTACCGCCGTTATACTCAGTGGGCCTCCTTGGCGTCAAATTCTGAAGTGTTACTTTGGATAGCATTAACTAAAACCGTATGGTAATGATGTTCTTTTGTACTTGTATCGGAGGTTTCACGGTGTTGTCAAAAGATCTCGAGATAAAGAGCACTTGCATATTACTTTGCACTGCATGATCAATTTACAGAAGGCAAAGGCTCTCCAGGGACCCTAGGTGTCTGCAGTAGGGGGTCAAAGGCGCCTTGGAGTCTATACCCCCTCCATCGGCGAGCGAATTTAGATTATCTTCGTATCAAAGTAGGTTTTGCTCTAATATGATATTATCGAAGTTTCATGCTACAAATGCCAACATTAACTCATTTGAACTTCCAAATTGATGATAATCACAGTAAATTACAGAAATTCACGTATTCATGTATAGACATAATGAATAGATCAAGACTTTACTCTAATTTGATGTTATCGACCGCAGACTCTTTCGTGTTACCAATGCAAACACGAGCACCGGCACTAACTCCTTTGAAGGTACACATTGATGATTATGGCAGCAAATTGCAGACATTTATGGTTATAGCGGGTTATGTTTAGACATAATGAATAGAACAAGATTACAAATAGCATACTTATCAAACGTAGATTAGACCAATTGTGGACAATCTGGAAGCTTTGCTATGGCTTGGGCGTTGTGTCTGAATTATACCTTGCATCCAGTCAGATGGTACCGAAGAGAATTTGTTTGTCGTTCTGTGCTCTCCTGCTTTCAATTCATACCAATTTATGTCGATTTTTAGGTTTTATGTCAATGTTTATAACCGGAACTCTTTGAAACTAGGCCTTATCGTTGCGGTGCAGATATGAATTTCAGAGTCTTTATTGCCTCCAGAGATACCCTCCTTACCAATAACATCAACCAAAATGTCATGAATTGTTGAGCTGCAACCAAACAAAGGGGACCCCCGCAGCCATAAAGTTGCCTTGGGACAGATAACACTGCCACTGACAAATACTTCTGGTAATGTTCAAATAAATCGGTTTGTTCGCCATATGTTATTCTTATCTAAAATCCCAACACATCAAAGTATGCTGCGTAATTTGTATTCCGAAGGAGAGCTCAGTTCAGCACATCAGGTCTGAATGGAAACTTTTCAGATAACGAAGCCACTTTCGTTCCATCCATGCATCCTCGGCTCATGCTGTATCTGGCACTCAGCCATGAAAACATTCATGGAGCCCAGTTCTGTATAATTTGGAGGATGGCTACGGTTGGTTGTGCACCTGATTAATGCCTTGTTGTCATGTGTTGTCTCAGGCAATCCGTGGCGGCAATCTCTGAGTGCTTGGACGATAAGAAGTTGCTGGACCATTGAGAGATTTCGCCGGATCCGGATCCATCTGGTTCTGTACCCACCATTCGTGAGCGTCGGACGACCGGAACTGTTGCTCAGCCATTGAGAGCTCTCCAAGGACACCTGTTTCTGTGAGTGACGAGGTTACGATTTATCGTTACACCATAACTGCATGAAGATAGCGCGTAGATTTTAGGTCAGTCGTTTCATGATATGCACTCCATGTTATACCCCAGATATCAAAACATCAGCAGTACCGAATATGGCCGTCAGCATTGTGTATGACCCACAGTTCTTTCAAACTACGATGAGTCTCATCAGCTAACGTTACTCCTGTTTCTTCAACAGAAAGTGATGTACCAGAACATACGTCACCAGGCTCACCAGGCCAGAGTCAGGCAAGAACTAGGACTCAAAAGGTGGGTAAGACGCTCTCTATACTGTACTGTACATTAACCTGAAGGGTCAGCGGACGTGACATGTGTTACCGCGAGCAGCTTCAACGAGTGATAGAGTGACACTAAATAACCCTTGAGAGGTTACAGCTCATTCACTAAAATACTTTGAGAATGTCACAAATGTACATCAACATCATTAGGCTACAGTTCTATCTGAAGGGCACTGTAGATTTGAAGGGTCAACGGCCATGACACGTGTTACTGCTGAGGTTTTAATGCAGATGCAGGAGCAGCGCTAGGCTAACTCTGTAATACATTAGAATACATTTAGCAGCAGGTACCTGTTCTCAATAGCCTCTGAGTGGTGATCTTGACCCTGGAGCTTTATGTAGAGACATTTAGATGGTATTATGTATGTTTATTTGCCAGAGATCGTTTATAGAGCAGCGTGCGCGGCCTGGTGTTGACTGGGAGATCGTAGCCTCCATTAAAGTGAAAGAATCAGACTTGCAAATCCATGACACAGAAAGGCTTTTAACACTAAAAGGTAACGCATTAGAGATGATTACCAGGAAGCAACTGGTAGGGAATATTGTTTGCAAGGTGTTTGTCAACGGACTAACATTATTGAAAAACATGGGGTTGCGCCTGGCGGGATTTTATGACGTCTATTTGCACAGTTTTTATTGTACCGAGAAGCGTGTTTAAACGAACGCGTGTTTCGACAATAGTAGCTGGGTTGAGCCATTTTGAAATGATATGATAAGTGATAGCTTTTAGCAGTTTTTTTATACGTCATAGCCAACAAAATATCTTTTTTTTAAACCTGCAGTCATGAACCGTTTTCTGCATTGCCTGCTCTTTACCCTGGCGAATTATTTCACATGACTTTCCCGAAACTTTCCGAAAATTCACTCCAGAAACTTCGCCTACTGGCAATTTTCCATATAATAGTTGCCAGTACAATCACTGACAATATTGGCCGTCACTCTCCTAGGCGAGCAACAGCTTAAAAGTGTCTATTTTTGAAACGATCTAATCTTCGTATATCTATGCCTTTATATTGACATCTTACGAGTCACATCTGCCGTGGACGTTTCCATTATGGACGTCTTGTCATCAGGTGCACTTTCGCGTGCTGCGCTCACGAGATACCGAAGACATCTGACAGTAAATGTGAACGACAGGCCTTCCCCCTGTGGTGTTTTTCTCATTTGCTTGTTATAATGAAGTTCAGTGCACAGAGATGTATGCCCTAGGCGTCCTCTATCAGTATTCCTATGGAAGCACAGAATTAGAACTTCCCACCTGGTCTCTACTTTTGATTGCCTGCAGTGACATATTGTCGGCTCTAAGGAACTTTATGGATGCTCGATTGGCTTCGATGCGATCAGAAAAAGAGATATGTACCTTAATGGGAGGCGTCGTGTTATTGGACGATTAAGCTCCACGGTACAAAGCTGTCTCTCCCCATGCCAATCCCCTCCACTGTACGTCAAGTTGACGATGTCAACAGTGGCTGGTGAGGGTACGCTGACAATAAGGGAAAAAATCAACTGGTGCCGATGATGATGGTACATGTACTAGTGTTGAGAGCTTCAACCTTGAACGAAAGACGAAAGGTTTCTTATTGACCACGTATAGATATAACAATAAGTGTCGAGATGGTCTTGCAGTTAGGGGTATTGACTTAGAATATACAGGTTACGGAAGCCCTGGCAGACCACGAAGTTGTACCCCTGAAAAAGGCACTAAACACGCTTTTCCTCAATCGACTCAGGTACAAATGGGTGCTGGTACCTACATGTTCCAGGAGGGACGTACTCTCGGATTGAATGTAAACCGGGTGTTCCGTATTTGACATAAAGGGTCACGTCTCAAATACAATGGCAGCCATCAAGGCTGAATTGGTGCCCGCCCAGTAACCGGCTGTGATTTGACTGCCAATTACAGCTTTTATTCACCAGGCAAGCACTATAGTTCCAGGAAGAATTCAGGTCAAGCCAATCACTTAAGGTACACATAGTCAAGCCATTCCAAGCACGCACGTTTAAAACAGTTTGTTTTGGGGTACACTGTATTTTGCTGTGTTGTGTTGTGTTGTGTTGTGTTGTCGATGTAGTCGATCTATAAATGTGTCATACTTTTACAAATTCTGTAAAAGGTACATTCACCTGTGCGTGTGAAAAATTTGAAATTCTATATTTAAGTTAAGTCTATAGGATTTATTTTCACTGTGACGTTCTTGCTGATTCTGTTCACATTTTCTCACTGAAGCAACAAACATGCATAAAGCAAGACATTGATGACGGGAAATGTGATAGCCTTTACAGGGACCTTTCTGGGACCTTTGTCCTGACTTCCTGTCACTGTTCCGGTGTGCCGATCATGTGGTAGGCAAACACAGACAGACCGAAAATAAAACCTCCTCACAAAAACAACTGCGGTATTATATGCACGGAAGGTTCATCTGTATGCTACGATATTTTGAGAGAAAAATTATGCCCTGGCACTCATGGAGACTGTCCATAGGGTCAAAATCAAACCGTGGCGAGAAATCCCTTTTGGTTGTTTGCTATCTATCGGCGAAGACTGTGATGGATCTGAAGCCACGAAATGGTCACTTGCTCTCCCTAGCGATCTGGATAAGACCAGCAAGCAATGCTCTCTTGATGACATGTATTGATGACTAGCCTTCGTTATTGTTTTGGAAATCTCGCAGCTTTTGTTTCTATATATTAGATAGACCCCTGGATGTTGTGTTTGGTAGATTAGATGCAAAATATTGCAAACTCGACATCAAATAATACTAAACGCCTTCTGACCATATGGTAGCTGATGGAAATCAACCCATGCATTATAATATGTAACTTATTCATGAAAATACATATAGCTGGATTTGTTCGTGTCGATACAGAATGCATGTGTTGGGACGACATGTCGATCAACCAAAAGTCAGTGTTTTTCCGTCACACCTTTCTTTTTTAATTTAAGCTTCCTACAGTTAATACAGACGATAAACACCAATATAATCATTGACATTAAATGTTTAATGTCATTTTACGTTACCTCCCTAAAACTTCATGAATGTAATTTTAATCAGATGTATCTGTACATGCTACCACATGTCTTTTTTCCAAATTCGTGATAGTTAACGTAAATATGGACGATAGTTAACGTAAATATGGACGAATAGGTTTGCCCTACATACCTGAAATGTCATTTAGCACTCTGACATTTGACAGGACCTCCCATAACCATCCCGTTCCCAATGTACACGGAATGATGTTGACCTCTATTAAATTCCGTTGACCTCTATTAGACCCTGATATCTGCCATAACCATAAATTTGCTTTAAAACTAACCGAAAAAAAATGTGAAAAAAACAACTCCTCATATCACGACATAATACCAGGTAGGAAATATCACGTTAGTGTAACAATGTACATACACGCAAGCATGTTATGTATCAAACGTTACGTTTGGCTATATTTATGTATGTATATGGCCTCCATTGGTCATACTGACCTTGATGAAAATCCTAATTGATAACAGCCCTACAGCTATGTCTATGGCTGCATTATTTATATTTATGTACACCAAATAAATCCTCTACTTGCATAGGCCTAGGGGTGTAGTGCTTTTAAATTTCATACCATTTCACTATGCTGTGTAAATAAAGTTTAAACATGTTATAACGCCATTGAAGTGAATACGTTCAGACGAAAAATTGTTCCTAGCATTGAATTGATCCATATAAAGTATTACAATTCTATTCAATTACGAGATAACATGTGATGTACATTTTGTATATATACATGGCTGATAATGAGAATGTGGCCTCCTTCGGTCCATATTGATCTTGGCAGAATCCTAATTGATAACAACCCTATAGCTATGTCTACGGTTGTATTATTTATATCTATATACAACACATGAATCACATGTATTTTAATTACTTACTTGCATAGGGGGCAGAGCTTTTAAATCTAATGCCATTTTCTCTACATGCTATGCAAACATGTTGAAGCACTGCTTGAAGCAAGTAAGTTAAGACGAAAACTTTTTTAATACTGAATAGATACGCATAAAACAAGTCAACTTAATTACGAGTTACATTGACATGCGATGTATATATGACTGACGATGAGCCTATGCCCTACATATCATGTTTACAACAGATTCTGACTTCTTTTCAAGCATCTTGAGCAGCGTCGTCAATTAATGATGGCATGACTTCAGCACAGCTGTCCTGGTGTGGATCAGTCTGATTGAGTACTGCTCCCATGGGCCTCTACTCAGCATAATAACTTCAAAAGCCGGGCTCACCAAGAGTTTTAGATCCTCTCCAATCCCTTTATTATATCTCACACTTATATATACAATTTAAATGATGTACCACTTCGGATAACGAGCATCCCTTAATAATGAGTTCCTAAAATGTTGTTCTTAGAGTGGCAGACATTTTGCCCCTCAGCTCACGTCATTTATTACCCACCGTACGGCGAGAATTCCTTCCCGGTTGATCTTGGCTGCTGGCGGGCGGCCATAACGGACACCGGCCGAGCCATGCCGGGGATTTATAGCCACACTACACCGCTCCCGGGGAGGATTTACCGCTACTTCCTAACACGCCGAGGAGACGCGAACAGCAGGACAATTTAATGGTCTTTGGAATCCCCTGCCGTAGATTCGTCTGTGTAGAAAGATAGCGGCAAAAGTGTGACGAACCAACGGTTTCTCATTTAAACCTCACTGGAGCATGACATTTAGGAAAGAAGGCGTCTTGCTGGTAAGATTGGAACCGGTTTCTGGCTGTTATACATTCTAAAGTAGGTAACACTGCTCTGTGAATGGAATATAGACGGCGTGCATTCAAGAAGCATATCAGTTGAATATCGGTTTCGGCATCTGAGTGTACCATTTGCTGTAAACACATTCCTTTGGTCTAGAACACAAGTATCTGAGGGAAATATGATTGAAATAGTGATGAGGCGTAACGCGTTTGCCGCAAGCAGATG